AAGGACGGTGCCTCGCTGCCCTCCAGTGGTGGGAGCCTCCAGAACAGCTTTGTGTTTTCCTGTTCCTTTTAGCCCCTTAAACTATGTTAGGCTCAGATCCTCATGGAAGTTATAGCACTAATTTTCCATGAAAATTTTTTATTTTTCCATGAAAATTAGATGATTAAATGCTTTTGGTGAGCTTACTTTTGTTTGCAAATGCTGGAGAATTTGGCCGGTCAGAGCTGCAGAGCAGCATGACTTCATGGAGAACTTGTCCCTTAGCAGAAGGTGTCCTATGGAGGATATGTCACATAAGCAAATATACATACCTCTGTGTGTTCGTATTTCACAATATGAGATACACACTGGAATTCATATGTACCTAGAAAAAGCTGGAAGAAGGTATTTCCAGGGAGGGGGATTTTGCCAGTGCAGCAAAGCTCCAGCACTCCGTGAGAGAAGCTCAACACCCAACCTCCAGGATAAACGTATTTCACTACAGACAAACGCTCTTTGTTTTCTATGAGCGAATGTCGATAGATTTCTTTAAGAAGATGTTCTGGGAAACAGCTTTGCTATACCAAGACCACAAGGTCAGCCCAACTGTCATCACTGCACGTTCTTGCCACACAAGATTAGTCTGCTTGCTTAGCTTTGGACTGAAGTCTTACCACCTCCTTTCTAATGGCACCTTCAACGTCCTTGACAGGAGCTGCAATGTTTAATGTGGAAGCTAGTCATTCTTTGTCACCTATCACTACAGATCAGCTGTACAAATCTTCTGCCCCTGCTAGCACTCGCACCTACTACCATCACTTCTTAGATATGGTGTAAAATAGCCTAAGGCGAGATCCAGTCTCACTAGGCAAGAGCTGGGTAGTGGAGTCCTCAGCCCTCTGCATGTCCACCAGGACCAATGTCTTCTTTAGGACCTGCTTTATAAAAGAGACTGAGCAATGCTGAAAAAGCAAATCTTAATGCTTCTTCATATCCAAGATATTTGCATTCAGCCATGTTCCCCATATTTTCCTATCCCTATACTCGGCTCCAAATAGAGGTGCACTGAAATGCCACTGATTAAGAGCTTAGTTTATAAATAGATTAGGTGCCTACAACTAGGTAATGTGAATTATGCCACCACTTTCCATTAACACCCATGCTCCTGCTGCATGGGATTTCTTGAAGAAGTAGCTTTAGTGCTCTTTGGCTGAGTCACCAGACTGACACATTAGCTCTTTCTACAGGACTCTACACTTCCATGAGAGAATATTATTGAAAGTCCAGCACCAACCAAAGAAATACTTTCATTATAAGGTGAATATGAAGTGCACTGAAATGGCACAGGCGTATCAGACTTCTGTGCCTTCTACATGATATTGTTCAGATCCAAATCTTTAAATCCAGAGCACTTAGATCTGGGTCAAATCACAAGATGAAACTAATTTCTTTGACATTATTTTGAGAATAAAATCTTCATGAGGTTTCAGCTGGAGTTTTGGACTGTTTTTAAAATTTCTTTTTCATTCAAAAGTGAAAAATGTTTGTATAAAATAGCTTAATTTCTGTCAGGATAAAAAACTGGCACATACCGTCCTGTTCAGGCCTAGCTTATAGCTACTTGGATAGAAACATACTGATAAGGATCTACCACAAATCCACTTAGTCACTTCAGGAAATGACACTGAATTCACAACTAGGAGTTTAGATGCTTGACATGACTGTTTTTGCTCAAGAAGGTACTGTGAAAGTAAGAACATGGATATCTAGATAGATATGGTACTGTGCTAAGAAACTAAAAGCATACACAGACAGAAAGAATTGATGTTAATTTTTAAATCAGCTAAGAAAATTTAGCTTTGCTTTTTTTCTTTCTCTAGCTGAAACCCATCTTCTCCCTGACAGTACAGAGTGAGGTAGAGCTGGCGGCATCCTTTGGGGTATCAGAGGCCACAGTGGCGTTGACACCACCACCTCATGCTGGGGAGAAGACTGAGTGACTGGAGGGATCCTGCTGGACCCATGGCTTTGCTAGAGGCAAATCTTTTCCAGCTGTACAGGCCTTTCTAGGTGGGACTCCCTTTTTTCATGCAAGTCACCTAATCTGAAAAGATACGATGAAAACAGGTGGCAAAGGGTAATCTCCAGCATGACCTGTTGTGTATTTCCTCTTCATTATGACTTTTTTCCATGCTTTCTCCTAGTCCTTTATTAATTTGTATTTATACTGGCACTGCAATATCTTCTGCCTCTCATCCCATGACCGTGTATCTCTTGCCAGTAGAATAAAAACCTGTTTCTAGTTTCTCCCCTTCACCTGAAAAAAATGTTGTGCCTCAATTCTTTCGTGCAGCATCTCACAGATCCAAAAGCGGGTCTCATAGGTCCTAACACAGAAAGGCTCCACTTCCGCAGGCTCTGTGCAGTCTATGTTTATGAGGGATGTAACCCACAGGATTGTCAGCTAGCATGTGTGCTTGTCCTTTGAAGACAAGGGGAAAATCTCAGTCTACTTTGGTCAGAAACATACCTGCTGTGAAACTGCTAGATGGAGAGCAGGGCATAAATGGTCAGTTGAGTCTTCATCTTGTCCAGCATTTATAGTACTGCAGCAAAGGTGACTAATTCCCTTCCCTCACAATTCATAAGTAACGTTTGGATTTTCCCTACTGTGCTCCATCAGTGCTCACCATTTTCTTGGGGATCACAGCAAATCAGTATAGATCACTGCATAGGGCCCCATGACTTCAGTCTCTACTGGTCTTCCACAGAACAGGCCACGGCAGCTGGTCATGCCCCTCTGTTTTAACACAGAGATTCCTTGACTTGCACAGTTTTAGCTTAATTTAGCACCTTCTGGCCCTATCTTGCTCCATTTCCTTGGTTTCTGTAGTTCAGCAATTGCCCTTCTTATTTACCCCCAAAGCAGTTCTTTCTACCCAACCACGCCTTGGCCAATATCTCTTACAGCTGTTTTCTTGCTCTGTAGGCTGCAACTGAGAGAGAGATAACTGCAGATCTGAAACATGCTGGCGGGATCTAGTCCCAGGTTAAAGAGGACTCAGAGAAATATGAAAAAGCATAGAAACTGCTTCTTACAGGAGTAATCTGTAGCGGACAGAGAGAATTTGGTTGACGCTTTCCTGACATTTTTGGGATGCTAATCTTCTTTTGGCACAATTCTCACACCAATTTAATCTGATTTAGAACGGTTGCAAGTTGGAAACCGACTTTGGTGGTATGAGAATCCTTACCAAACAGCCTAACCTCCAAAAGTAAATCCCTGCTTCCTGGAACAAACACATCATCAACACACGGACACAAAGGTGCTTGGGGAGTGTTTGGGAAGATCTCGGTAGCCAGTCCGGAACAGCGTTGTGATCAGGATCTACTTATCCGGATGTCTGGATGTACCCTGTGAAATGAAAATACTCAGTAAATCACTTCCTTGGCATCGATCTGGAAGTTCAGAAAGAAAGATCAAATTGCACAGCACACACCTGTGGTGTAGACCAGAACTCATTTAGTATAAATTCTGAAACTGCATTGGGTTAGAACAGACAACCGCAATGAAAATGGACCTTCAAGTGAGTCTCACTTGGTTGCTTCTGTTAAGCGCTACTCTTCTATCTGAACCAGGTACTGTGTCTAAAGTTTTTACGTGCTTGCAGGGAAATGTTACAGACAGAATTAGTTACTAATGCAGACCGGCTTGCTGGGAAGTGGTGGCAAAGGGTCTCCTAGAATGTTGCTGACAAGCTTTGTACCATAAAATTGATGGTTTAATTTGTCTTCCAATTCAAAGATTCAGACCAAATCCATAGGTTATATTTCAAAATATAGCCTATGAAGGTTGTAGGCTGAAGAAGGCTGAAGAATATTTTCTTTGTTTCTCTTCTGTGAGGGGAATAGTTTGGGGAAGTTGTTCTCTAAATATTCTTCTTCTAATATTCTAGTTTTGAATTTAAATTCTTCTATATTGAACATTTAAAAATGAAGAGAAAGAGAAAAAAAGAAACACAGAGCAGCCTGCCGGACCCAGGCGAAAATATACTTTACTGCAGTGCCATGTTCCTTTAAACTTCCAACAATAACCCCAAACCTTCCTTATAATCTTGCTAGTTTGAATGAGATACTTTGATCTTTAATTATCAGCGTGGGCACCATGAATAAAGTCTTGTCAATCCCTTACAAAAAGAGATAATTTCATGGAGTGTAGATTAAGAGGTTGGCTACATTGAATTATTTATAAGACAAGAGCAAAGGCAGCCTAGGGGGAAGTTCAGCATCAAAGAGGACTAAGCTGCATTTCAAGAAGGTGGTCAAATCCCAGCACTTCAGCAACCCTATAATCTTTATTCTTATTCAATAGGTTCACTTTTGTCTTTGATTTGACCTGATGTAGACTGGATTAACTTTGACTGGAAAAATCACTTAGGATCCTGTCTTGCAAACCTAAGACTTTAGTATCACTAAAGTAAAAGCGAGTGTCTGAAGATAAGTGACAATTTGAAAAAAAGAAAAAAAATCCCCAAATGAAATTTCTTCTGATTTTAGTGATTGAAGCAGGCACAGCTCTTCAGAGCACGCTAATTCTGAAGGAGCAAAGATATTATTTTAAAAAGTGCCATTTGAAAACATTGCTTTGACCCCTGGCAGTCTAAATCTTTTTTCCTTTCAGTGAATGTAAGTAGATTTTCAAAGGTATTTATGTGACTAAAACTACAGATTATCAAAACCACGTGATCAGACCACAGACTTGTATCCTGTTTTGGAAGACCATTTCATCCCCTGGTATCTGAACCATGGTCTGGTTTAATCAAACATACATTTTTAAATACCTTAAGGAGTATATAGTAAATTCTTCACTGCAGAGTTAGACAAAGTTGGGCTTCCCATGCAGACCTGAGCAGGCATTGGCAAAGATTTAAGCTAACGTGCTGGGCTTTCAGCCAAAACAACTGTCCCAGTCTGCACCAACAAATGGTCCACAGCCTCCCCTGCTATTGTGGTAATCGCACATGGCAAAGGTAAGTAACCCTAACTCCCCAGTGAAATTTGGCAGAGCTCAGCTCCCAGAAGCTGTCTTTACTGGAGGTGAAGGATGTGTACGAGGACTTCTGTGGTCAGATCCCTTTACTCTTTGTCCTGCCATGAAATAAGGTCCTCTACAGTCATCTTCCACTGAACTATGAAGAAATCAGGACGTCCTTCCAGACGCAGGGAGGAACTGCAGGTTTGCTTTGAAAACACACCACGTACCAACACTTACTGTACCTAACTCTGTACCAGCACATACCGGCTACCATCTCACAGCAAAAAATAAAATATACCTAGAATTGTTGTATGTTACATCAATGCTAATATGTTTTCTTATCTGCCACAGCAAGTGGTACGTGGTGGAACTCACCGGGAGGCTCAGCAACTGGAGGTCAAAACTCAATATGGAATAAATTTTCACAATGGATAAAACACAAATTTCAACCCCAAGGTAAGAGGGTGAGACATGCTCCTGGGTGTGAACGTACCGGGCACACCTGTAGAGTTACACGAGCCAGCTCTGGGTGAGCTGGTTGTCTCACCAGCACAGCCAACGATAACCTACCGTGATAGATCAGGTCCTGTACGCAGCAGAGCCACGTGAACAGGGCTGAATTAACCGCACTGATTTGGGCTCTGCTGTTCAGCTCCCTGCTTTGCACACTGCAGGTGTTCCCCAGTAAGCCCTGGGTACTGGGAACACGGAAACGCTGGGCAGCCCGTCCCTGCACAGATGGGGATGCAAGCTTAGACGTAAGAAGCTTAGATATCCGGGGAATAAACAAATTGAGATGTTTACCTGTCAATTTTTATTTTAGTTTCAGAAGATCCACAACTGCGACTGGTATCTGGAGGGAACCGATGCTCTGGGAGGGTTGAAGTTTTCCATGACGGCAAATGGGGGACAGTCTGTGATGATCAGTTCAATCTGAACAGTGGCAGCGTTGTATGCAGACAACTTGATTGTGGTCAAGTTGTTTCTGTCTTGGGATGGTCTTACTTTGGCCCTGGCAGAGGAGACATCCAGCTGGATGATGTGCGGTGTAGAGGAACTGAATCTTACCTTTGGGACTGTCAGCACACCGGCTGGGGCAGACATAACTGTGGACACAATGAGGATGTCAGCGTCATCTGTTCAGGTAAAAAAAAAAAAAAACGTCTCTTTGGATTTTCCTGTTGACCATAAATGCAAGAAACATCAGAGTAAAGCTTGGAAGTCAGACTAGAGCTGAACTGTGTGCATGTGGAGGCTTCTTGTATTTAAGCTGATCTGTGTGATTGAGGAACAAAAGGATGTCCTGGACAAAATATCAAGATTGGTAGCAGCAAGCACTGCGTATGAAAATGGTGAAAAGAAGGTAGTTCAGGACCACTTTAGTCAACATCTGATTACAGGCCATTCCCAAGATAAGAAAGGCAACCTGTTAAAAGGAGATAGAAACCCATCCAGATGTGAACCAGGCATGTCTGAATTGAAAATAAAAATTAATACTCTTGTCATAACATAAACTGACATCAAAGATTGCATAGCTAGAAACAGCCTATTTTGAAGCAATGTAAATAACTGCACAATAAAAGTAAATTTTTGCTGGCTTTCCATGTTCGCAGGTGCGGCAAGCTCCACGGTTGCACCGACAGGTAAGGCAGGGCTTTTGAGACATAAGTCCATTAGCTCTTCACAGTCTCCCCAAATGCTCAGAGTCTAATTTTTAACTCAAAAATCATGTGATTACAACTCCTTGGCAGACAGTATTCTAGAAAGATACATGCTCCAAATTACTAGTTATTGCTCCAAATTGCTATTTATTCATCCACTGTAACATTATTTCTGTTCTTTGGATTGCTCATAGGAACTGCATTTGCCACTCATCTACTACTAATTAGGGAGAACATAAGGCGAGTCTTAACACTCCAGGTCTAAGTCTCTGACTCCTGTTTTTTTTTTACTGTTCCTGAAATAATCATAGCACCCTGGGGACCTTTAAGTACAGACATTATTCGTGTTTCATGGGGTTTTTAAGTGTTGAGTTAATTACTAATGCTCTTCATAATACACAGCCAGAGAGGAGTGGGTGTTAAAATACAGTTTTCGATCATATGCAGCCCAGAAGTGGAAGAGTGGTTCCCAAAATAATTTCTTCTCAAGACTTGAACCCATAAAACCACACTGTAGTAGCCCTGAACTGTTGCTGCACACTCAGCGCATCTACTTCTGCGCTGATGGCACCACTGGCAAATATCTCTGAAGTTCATTTAGAACTGCCATTAATCGACAGAAATGTCACTCACACTACCAGAAGTTAAGGTCTGGTGCATTAACCCAGTGCTGCACAAAACCTAATGTTTAAATTATTTCACCAATGTCTCAGTTCTCATGACCGTTCTTACAGTTCGCTAATAATTTATTTTCTCTAACTTCCAGCATCCTCAAAGAAGCCCCAGACTTCCATTTCTTCATCAACATTGTCCACGGACAGCACTGTTGTGACATCTACCACAGAACCCCTGACTTCTGCTGGCAAAGGCAAGGGAAAAAAAACAAACTGCAAATGTCACGTGCAGAAATTTTGAGTAATAGATGCAATTTGTTTAGAGCAGACAGGGGGAACACTGGGAATTCAGTAAAAATATTTAATAACTCTGCATGCAATTAGCCTTGGAAGAGCCAATGGCCAACACCATCTTAATTTTCATAGGAAAATGTGGTTGGAGGGAAAATGGGCATGTGATTAAGTCTACCCGCATATACAGTTATCAAGACTGCATGTATGTACGGTGGGAGCTTTACAATTGGTTCACCTGAAGCACTCTTACCTGGATATCTTCTTCACCTTCAACTCTTTTAATAATCTTGCTCAATTTTTCCTGGTTCTTAAGTTAGTGCAAAGGTAGAATGGATATAAGGTGTGTTTATACCCTGCTGAGAGATGCACCAATTGCATCAGTCTCCCAAGTTCACTTACAATTACTAATGGGAAGATGTTCTTCTGAGCCACATTACCGAAAGTTGAAGTCCAAGGAACAGACTTTCTTTTCCATGAAGCCTGAAATATTAATGATTTCACAGATCCTTGAAACGTCTTTTCTTTTACATGGTGGTGTTTCTGTTTAACAACGTATTTCCCCACCCCCTAGCCACCTCCACAGACTCCTCCTCTGCACCCAGCTCCAGCCCAGCAGGGACTGAGACACCGTCTGCTCCAGGGACCTTGACAACCCTCGAGGAAGGTGAGGCATATTTGCGTGTTGAAAGTCATTTCCAAAGCACAAGACAAATCTCATTCTTTATTTCCCCTAACAATGGCGACTTTGCATCTTTCCAAATGACTATTGCATCTCTAGTAGTAAAAGAATGCAGTCAGAAATATCTACTATCTTTATCATTAATTATTAAATGAAGGTGAAAGGGGTTTTTTTCAGCAAAAAGAAAGGGCTATGCATTGACTCACTATTCTGCAAAGCCCAAATCTACTTACTTTCATCAAGATTTCAGTTCATGTGTTCAGTCCTAATTGCTGCCGATCTCTCCTCTTCTTTTTATTTCCTCAACTTTCTCTTGGCCTCAGTTACATCTTCTGCGTCCACTATTGTCACAGAGGGAAATGCCACATCAGCTACGGAAATCCCAACCACAGTTTATAAAGGTAAAAACAGCCATTTTGCAAGTGCTATTTAAAACAAATATTCTGTTAATTTGGGTTTTTCAGATGGATTAAGATGTGAGACCATGTAAATCTGTAAAATATTCATAGCAGACAACTACAAATTAAATATCTCTGTGAAGGAACACTCCCTTACAACATCTTCACTTTAAAAATATCAGGCTGTCAGGATGTATCATGATATATGCATTTAATGATTAATACCTCTGAGCTTGTAGCTATAAATGCTTCACTTACAATTTTGTAAAGCAAAAGTGTCCAGATCATTGTGATTTTGTGGGTCCAAGATTCATAAAAGCTCCAGAAACGTTAAGAAGCACAGCCAGGCATTTGGGCTCATCTCCCTTGGTCAGACCTCTGCCTCTCCAGTTATTTAGCAGGCTGGTAACACAGTTTTTTATCAAGCCTGAGACCTAAAGCAAGTCACAAGCTCCTCAAATCACACTTGTGCTTTTAATCGCTACTTGCAACCATTTCATTTCTCATCCTTATAGCCTCCTGTAGTAGCACAAGTGCCTCCCTCGATTGCACCACCGTCACAGAGGAAAGCAGGACATCAGAAATCCTGACTACGCTGCAGACAGGTAAAGGGCATTTGCACAACATGCAGCACTTTAGAAAAATGTGGTTATAAGTTTTGGTTAGGAGGGGACCTTAGCGGAGATGCCAAGAAATGTTGCAAAATCACCATCTCTCAGCGCAGCTAATGCTTGTCTATGAATTTCATCTGCTTGGTACCAACCTGCTGGCTTTCTGCCAGCATGGGCAGGCTATCACTACCACTACTACCACTACTCCAATCGGGAGCTGCAAATGCTACATGCAATGCCTGCTTCAAGGCAAGCTGAATGGTGCAGAATTTGAACCACAGAATCTGAAGGAAATTATTATTTTTATTCTCATTTCTTTAAGAAGCATGTCTCAGGAAAAAGCCACCCAGTCTACATTTCTCCCCATTTGTAACATTACCTATCTGGATTCTAACCAATTTATAAGCCTCCAGGCTTGGGCTTTCTTATCAAGCCAGTCCAGGATGAACAGCAGGTCCTGCATTCCCTCTTGAGGATTTCTCAGCTCAGATCCAGCCTCTCCCAACTTGTGGCCCAGGAGGGACCTGACCGTGCAGGCTCAGCCCAGAGAGCTGGGGGGGAAATGGCTCTCCCTCCAGCCTCCCTCCCCTCTTCGGCACGGCTCCCACCTGCTAATGGGGATGCTCCATAGGGCAAGGAGATCCAGTGGAGAATTGCAGGAAAAACAGATGTTGTATTTCAATGTCAGTCCTGATGGCCTCTGCCTCCTTTCTCCAATGACTACTGTACCTCTGGGAGAAAGACTTTCAGTCAGATAAGCCAGGAATAGCTGTAATAAACATTTCCCTCTATACAGCCAGAATACCCGTTGTTATTTCACTTTTTGAACTTCTTAATAAAGCTCTTTTACTGCTCTGTTGCAGTGTTGGGAAACCGATATCTTCACCTTAAAGATTCAATAATTTTTGGCAGTTCTTTCCCAATCCTGGAGATGGAGATGCTACCACCTGACACAGTACAGAAGCTAGATCTCCACACTTTCTCACTCATCCCTGTTGAAGTCTCTCACCAAGGAGATTGATGTTTCTCTCCAATAATGTATTTCCTCAAATCTTTCACAGTCCCTTCAACACTCCTGTATTCCTCCTTTGCATCCACTTCAATAAATGAAGAGACTGAGGCAGTATCTACACCAGGAATCCTCAGCACAGCTTACAAAGACAAAGTTATAGTTGCAGAATCAATTTTGAATCTAAGTGAGCTAAGGGAAAGCCATACTGTGTGGAAAATATACACAATTAAGTTTTAATAAAGAGGGTTAAGAACACATTGCTTCATTCTCCGGTAGCTAAGAAGCTTAAAAATCCAAATTTTAAATATTTCTTTATCATGGTATTATGTGGTGACAGAAGTACAAGAGATAAGTCCACGTTTGTTCTCTAAAACAAAGTTTCCTGTATTTTCACACTTTTCTAGCAAAATGACAAATCAAGGTCTTTTTAACCAAAAATTTACTTCTGGTTCATGTTCATGTTTGGTCATTATCGTTCATTGTTCCTATTGTTTTTTTTCCTCAAAGCTTCAACAGATTATTCTGTCACAGCAACGGATGACTTGATCACATCTGCCCCCGTCACAGACAGTACTGAGCCATTAACAACTCCAGCATCACCATCTACGCCGATCAAAGGTAAGAAACAGTCAGATACAACCCGTGTGCCTTGCGTTGTTCAGAAGGAAACATGTCGCTTGTCCTGCATCACCACACAAGGCACCGTTTGGGGCTCAGAAAGTCCCTGAGCTGCAAACGGGTGGTGGCTAGAAGATGAACCTGAGCATCCTTTCTATGCTTGTCCCGTTCATGTACCCCTCCTCAGCACCTCTTAGAGGTCCCCATTGGGGAGGGGAAATGAACTTACACAGAGCTTCGGTCCAGCCTTTCTTCAGCGCTGATTGTGCCGCAATCTGTGTCCATATGTCCCACCTTTTCTCCATGCTCTTTGCTGGGGCAACTCTTATTCCGGCATCTATTTTGTAAGACACTTGGCAAGTTTTTAATGAATGAGCTGTTTTAATGAATCTATGAAATAATTTCTTAGCTATTAAAAAATCTTAAAACTGGAATTTCACCAGACAGGGCCATTTTGCATCAGCCATCGGCTGAGCTGGGACCTTCCTCTCCACCACATGCTGTCCTACCTCCTCTTCTAATGAAGCAGAAATTGATAGCACCAGTAGGCTTTAAACTCCTATGCAAATCTCCACCAGGGGAGATGACTATGTGTACTTTGCCTCTGAACTTGACAGATATTTTCAAGACGCACAAAAAAAATATTCAAAGGTCTTTTATTGACAAACATTTTCTGCAGTGCCTACGGTTGCTCCTTTAGCTCTCTGTAGACTCCAGGGAGCAGAGGAACTGGTGGCCATCCTCTTTAGAGACCTCTTCAGAATAGTGAAAGGCACTTCCCGCATAAACTAAATTCAGTTCTTTAAACCTTTCCTCAGAGCTCATGATTTTCAAGCCTAGTATATTCTTGATTCATTCAGCCAAGCTCTCCCCATTATCTCTACCTTTCTTAGAGTGAGCAGCTGAGGTCTCTAGTGCCAAGGAGATTAAGTAGCTCCTGTGTATCACTCTGCGAGCAAGACTGAGACCGGACTGGCTCCCTGTAGCATTAACTTTACCAACTTCCAGTTTTTCCATGATCCTTCTGTGCCAGCTGAAAGGATGATTTTGCCACTGTGCCTTGGCTTTCTCTTTCCAATGAGCTGCCCATTCCACCTGTCTTTTTTGAATTTGAGCTTGCCGATTTTTGACATTTATTCAGTTTATGAAGATCATTTTGAATTTTCAGCGTGTCCTCCAGAGAGCGCACAGATCTTGCCGTTCCTTCTGCCACTCTGTCTGTACTGTTCCAGTTTCAGAGGCAAGGGCTGAGGATCTCATTAGGGTACGGTAGCTGTGGCTGGCTGTTTAACACCCACACCACCTGTTAGTCCAAGATGCTGCATAACGTGAGAAACAATTACCTAGGCACCTGATAACTCCTCTCTTTACAACCTTTTTTTAACACTGCTTGTCTTCTCCAGCCTTATCTATGCTGTCAGAAATTGAGAGCTGTGACTCAATGCCAGTGGTAGCAGCACTAGAAAGTGTAATACAGATTTGCTTACTGCTCCACCCATAAACCTGATTTCAAACAATATTTTCATGTTCAAGATCTAGGATCCATCCATCCTAATTTCTACAAATGTTGTCTTAGAAATGAACAGACAAATCTTCAGCACAGTGAAGATGACATTTCAGTCAGTGTTTTTCTACCTTTTTCCCGCCAGTCATTTCACTTTCAAAAGGATAGAAATGAAAACTTTCCTGCTTTGAAGAATATTTTACAGAGCTTTGATCAGATTTTGCTGCTTGTCTTACTTATTCAGACTGGGCTCTATTCCAGCTGAATGAAAGAAGTTTGCACTTCTTTGCACGCACCAGTGAAACTGAGAAATGAATGCGGTCCCTCAAGATTTACGTTTATTTGCTTGGCTTTCAGCAGTTGAATGTGAATTTCTTAAATGAATGATCTGTTGACTCTTATGCAGGCTTAAGGAACCTAATACATGGTGTATATATAGTTTCCTAAGAATTACTATGGAACTATGTGCTTGCAACTATTAAGTGCTTTGCCTGTGTCCACTCAACCAAGTATTTGAGCAAACAACTTCATCTTATTTATGCATACTGTGTGTAACAGGGATGCTGTTCAATGGTTAAAGGGAAAAAAAGGCTCCTCTGTAGCTCTAACTAATAATCTCATTACTTTCACTCGTACATACTGCAGGAAAACTGTTCGTGTTAAAGTCTCAGGAAAACTAAGTGCTCACTGATTCCTTTGATCATATTCTACACTTAACTAAGCACAAAGCATTGACTTTGAAGAGATACAAATATCGATTCTTTTCTTTTATTAATTTGCTGAAAGTAAAAAGTTGCCTTTCAGCTGTCTGTAGACACCCCCACAAGAATACATTAAAGATTCTTGGGACTGTTACTTAATCGGTCCTTTATTGTCTGAAGTGCCCTCCAAAATTTCACATTGATGTTCATATTTCAGATTAATGAAATACTTCATTTACTTAGAAACTTTAATAGGAAAGATGCCTCTCTCCCGATAAAGTCATTTTTAATATCAGCTGAATCACAATAAATTTATTTCTGCCTGTAATTTAAGACAAGATCTGGGTCTGGATATAGAATTTTTAATCTGCTTCTTTCTCACTATTCCCACCTGGATTTAGATAGCTAATGTTGTCCAGTTCTTAAACTTTTTATCTAACACCTTTCACCATCGCTGGTGAATACTCAACGCCTGGATCAACAGGTTAATTATCTTTTGTCTCAATTATCTTTTTTTCTCCCTGAAATCATATGTGGCCCTCTTGTAGAAGTTTAGAGCTAGATCTTGGGAAGTGAGCCAAGCACATTGCTACTGGCATTTCTTTACAGCCAACTTTTGCAGAAGTAAATGATAAGCATGGTACTCAGATGGAAGGAGCTTTGATCATGGTCAGCAAAAAGGAATTAAGGAGAAAGAGAGTCCTAGGAAACATGGCCCTCATTCTGAATGGATGTGCATTAGTTGGTTACAAATGGCTGCCAGGTGACAGCAAAATGTCCCAAAATGAAAACCTCGTAATTACTGACCCACCAAGGAGTAAGACAGGTGTGTATACTTGGTACAGTTTATGATGGCCACAAACTAGGAGGAACTCAATTATGTTGCCGGCAGTGTCTCTGATTTCTTTCTCTGAAAGAAAAATACACTCCAAGCCCATAAACCTAATTTGGAACTTCAGATCTCTAAAAGCCTTTCCCTGTGAAAGTGAGATAAATGTGTGGAGTATTCCGTAAGTACCCAGCTCTCAGAAATGAGCCTGGTCTGTAGAAATAGCTCTGCTACTATTCTGGGGAAATGATGCTGTGCCAACCATCTGTTATGCCAGAGGGTTAGCAAGGATGGGAAAAGAAGCTGAACCAGGCGTTATTTAAAGGAAGAAAAAGAAAAAAAACCCAAACCATAGCCCTTACGTTGCGAGGTATCCCAGGAGAAGGTTGGCTCTTGGTATTTGTGTTCGTCCTTTAGACAGCACTACAGCATAGATGAGAACGATGGTAAAGAAAAGGGAGAAAACCTCCCCCTTGTTGCACAAACTGGGGAGAGGTGGCAGCTAGCTGCACGGGTGAGGACCATTTTCCCCAGAGATCAGCACATTGTGGAAGAGGACTATGTCCGTGCCCATTGGGCATTGCACGTAGAAAGATAGGTTCGAGCATTTCTAGTATCTATCCTACAACAGCACTGAAATTCAGGGGAGGATCCTTTGTCAGAGCAGACTCCGTTGCGGGCTACCTGCTCCTGTCTTCTCTGGGGTGGTACTTGGCCTGAAGGCAGGCTGTGCCACCGCCTCGGATGAACACCACCGTGGGCTCCTTCTCCGCAGCAGATACCTCCGCCCTGTCCCTACGACTGGCAGACGGTGACAGCGGGTGCTCGGGCCGCGTTGAACTCTACCACAACGGCAGCTGGGGAACGGTCTGCGACGACGCCTGGGAGCTGGCGGACGCCGAGGTGGTCTGCAGGAGGCTGGGGTGCGGAGAAGCTCTGCTAGCTGTGTCTGAAGCCCAGTTTGGTCCAGGCTCTGGGAACATCCTCCTCGACGAAGTGCAGTGCAGAGGGGATGAAGACAGCCTGTGGCAGTGCTCCCACAGAGGGATCGCTGTCCATAACTGCCAACATAAAGAGGACGCCGGCGTCATCTGCGCAGGTACGCTAGCACCTCTCTCGTAAACTATTGCTTCGTGAGCAATGCAAGCTTGCCTGCAGCTAAGGTTTTGATGCGCAACTTGTTTCCATCGGTGGAATTGTTTCAGGCATGAAATCAAGACCTATGAGAATTGCTGGGGTTTACCACATTTTTTCTTTTTGTTAGCTCATGCAGCTTATTCCACAGGCTTGTGTGTTAATTTTTTATTTTAATTCTCAAATCCTTTGGCTACCTGGAATATCATTTTCAATCTTATCTGATGCCATTTCCTACTCTATTACCTGACTGCTTTATGCATTACTATTTGAATCATAATTTTACATCATCACTATTATATTTCAGTCCTCCTAGTCCTGATTTCCCATAAACTATGAACTATGACTACAAAATCAAATTTCCTTTTCTTGTATTTAATAGGAAATTATTTTTAATAACTTCCTTTAGGATTTTTCCAAATCAGTTCCCAGTTTTCCAGCAATTCTGTATTCCGACTGGAAACACGTGTGCAGTTGGAGAGCTCGAGACACTGCAGCCTCTGTGCGGCCGGTGCCACGGCAAGTGGTGGTCCACGGACAAAGCTCACCCACGCGGTGGGCACTCTACGAGCCTGAAATGACCGAGGTGAAACCTAACTAGCTGAATGGGGTTGTGGATGAGACCTGGCACGAAGAATGCTGGTTTACAGCTTATCCTGGGGATACCTTTCCCTGGGGAAAAAATCAAAGCAAATTTTTTATAGAGTTAGGTTTTTTAGTACAGACCTCAAGTGGAGTTAAACACACAACCCAAGCAGACGTGTGGCTCTTCGGTGAGTATGTCCCACACCTGAAACAATTAAAGATTACACCTGCAAGGTAACCGCAACCATTAACACCTGACATTTAAAAAAGGGTTTGCAGCCTTCTCCCTTTTGGTGATGATGCTTCCAGAGATGACTGGGTTGCTCTATATAACTACTGCTTTCTTTTTTTTCATATAGTAACTGAAGAATGTTACTAAGCATCCTCTGTAGTAAAACTAGAAATTCACTTTTCTGTTTCCTTTCCTAGAGCCAGTTACTCCCCTGGTTGCAACGGAGCCTGTTCCAGCTGGTGAGTTCTCCCTAGATGGGTCTTGCAAAGCTTGCACAGCTGATATATTTTCTATAGTAACTTAAGCACTGGTAGGAAGGCAAAAATTTTATAGGCAAAAATTTCAAAGCAAGTAAATGTGTGTAAGAAGAGTTTCTGAGACACTTGAGGCTTATCTAAGAGTTTTGCTGTTAAAGAATACTGGTATCGATAGGAATGGTTATGTTAGCTACGGACATATACATCAGAGCCTGAAAGAGAAATATATTTACTCCCAGGTGTATATGGCACACCTTGAGAGTAAGGATTTATGATAGCTGATGAACTGACACAATGTGGCTTGTTACAATAAGATTAATTTCATGGTTTTGCCGCTCTCTGTGCAACACAACAAAGTTAGCTTTTGCAATTTGATAAATGCACCGGGAAAGCCCATTTCTGAGGCTGCCGAGTGCCCATGCGTTTCCCTCTGCTTTTCCAAGACATGTCCCTGAGACTGGTGAACGGAGGGGACATGTGCTCGGGACGCCTCGAAGTCTTTCACAACGGGAGCTGGGGAACCGTCTGCGATGATGGCTGGAACATGAAGGACGCCACGGTTGTGTGCAGGCAGCTGGGCTGCGGAGATGCTGTCTCAGCCAAAACAGATGCCTTTTTTGGGGAAGGCACAGGAGATATTCTCCTCGACGACGTCGACTGCAGAGGGGACGAGTCCTCCCTGGAGCAGTGCTCTCACAGGGGGCTGGGCACGCACGACTGCTACCACAAGGAAGACGCTGGTGTTATCTGTGAAGGTACTCACTTTTTCCATTTTATTTAATGTGAATTAAGTTTCCTAAGTCGTGCATGCAAGCCGGTATGGGTGAAAGGAGGAGCTTGGCACAAGGCTGGAGCCACTGTGGGAACAGGGACCCGTGGCAGTGGCCATGCAGGGAGAGGGGAGGCCGAGGAGAGCCAAGAAGGATGGCCAGGGGCACCCTGGTCACAGGGGGGACCAGCCGCCGCGGGCTCCATACATCCAGGGCCATCTCGCCCTTCCAACAAGGGATTCCTCTGCTTGGGTCTGGGGGAAGCATAAAGGGAAGAGCGGGGCTATAGGCATTTTCTTCCAGAGGACCACCAGTAGGTTTTGGCAGACCAACCTGGAATCTGCTTTTGGGACAAAGACTATTTGCCTAACAGCCTCAAAGTACTTGTGTCAGACTTGCAGTTTTAGAAATGTGTTTTCTTCTCTTTACGAATTTGTACTCAAAGATCTGCATCATCTTTATGTGAAGTTTATTGAGGAAAATGAAGAGAATTCCTGCCAGCTGAGGATGCAGAAAGAAATTGTTTTGATGGTTCTGGCATTAGATGAATGTGGTGTGTCTGATCCTAGACATCAGCGTAGGCTGGCAGACCACTGCATCTTTGTGGACTCAGATGTTTCAGTCCAAGAGATAGTGAGATCCTATAGGGAAGCGATACTCCTGCTGTGCTGTCATATTGTATTATAATGATATAACGAATAACAATAGCCATGAGACTTACATATTCCTGGAGAAGTGAGTAAGGCTTCCACTACCCCTCTGAAGAGGCCCATATTTTCACTTTGATTTTATTTTTGTAATTTCTTCTCCTCTCCCCTTTTTCTGGTACCATGCACTGTTCTTAGCTGATGGTTACTGGCAAATAATTACAATGAATATTTGAGAAACAATTGCAACAAATCTTTGATGTGCTGTACATAAGCTGCAAGCCCCAGGAGAAGCATTTAAGGAGAAATCATGTTCACACTATCAGCCTGCATTCCTAATTCACTCAGTCCTGCTCAATCCACCATAGTCCGCACACCGCAAACCGTTTCTCCTCCAATGTATCAAGAGGCTGTTTTGCAGCACGAGCCATGCTTGCTTAAACGTTTTAGTAAATTTACAGAACAAAATGTTTGTTTCCTAACTAAGCTTCCCAAGCTGCACGTAATTTATTTAATTTAAAAAGGAGTTCTGGACAGCTCATCTTTCAGGCTCCAGCCAATCTTGCAGTGGTGGAGCTACTTCCCTGCAAACAGCAATTCATACTGGATTTCAGCCTGGGTGAGGCGGCAGGACAGAAATTATACCTGTCCACACCAGGTTTGCTTCTCTGCCCCACTGTCTAGTACTCATGATGTACTCATTGCATGGGGTGGCAGTGAAAATGGTGTGGCAGAAACACCGATGGCTAGACCGAAACACCTGCAGCCTTCTCCAAGGCTTCAGAAAGCATCACCTCAGTCATGGTTTTGGGGAGAGCCCTGACTGTGCTGCCGCTTGTCTCATAACTGAAAGCATTGATCTGGCTTTCCTTCTTTTGATGGTTTTTATTTTCTCTCCCGACAGTCCCTCTGGAGCTTAACACACCTGAAACAACAGGTATGGAGTACTTCAATGTTCATTTATTTATCTCAGGTTTAGTCAAATACAACTTATCCCGCAGCAGAGTGCTGATTCCCCTGGACTTTAGCAGCGCTGAGCCGAAATTCCTGCTCTCTCGGAGGTGAGAGAGCCCTTAGCTCATCATTAGCCCTGAAGAACAAAAGGCGCTTGGGTGAACACGAGCTCCTGGTGGGATGTGTGGACAGAGGTGTCCTGCCGCACTGAGCTCTTTTGCCTCTGCGGAGATATACACAACCACACACACGGTTTCCATCCACCCTCGAGGGCGGTGGAAACACCACAAGCTGGTTTACAAAAATGTCAAATTATGGGGTAAACTGCTGTAATGTAGTTGGATTGAGGATCTCGTTATACTAGGCCCAATTACACCTAAATGATAACGTTGCTTTGCTTTGTCAATCTATGCTTTGCTCACTCAATGTTGGAAAAATTACTAAAGTGTGGCTTTGACTTTCTCTTTGACAGTCCCGACCGAGCCCACGACGGTTGAAACACCAGGTATTTATTTCTGGTCACTTCTTGAACCGGGGTGAGCAGAGGCACTGTCAGACCATGAAGGACAGCAGGATCCCCGGCTCACACCGCACCCCGGAGTCGAGGAATTAACTGTCAGGCACTCAGACTTTCAGTCTCAGTTCCAGACTTAGCGGACTACCTGCCTTCCTGGCAAGGCAACGCTGGCTGCCAGAGCCGTGCTCTGCCCAAGCTCCAGCTCTCACTGTAGGGTCTTCCAGGGGCGACGCACACCGTGGCGCCGGCTGTGTCACCGCAGGGTGTATGTTCACAGCCGAACACAGCAACACTTGGGCTACGTTCAGTCGTGCAGCCAAGTGTTCCCGGTTACTCACATGGTTTCGTGTGATATTGCAAGCGGCTGAGGCTGCTGCTATGGGTCTTGGGGCAAAAATATACATTTACAATGCAGACAATATTTAATTTCATCTTTTCTTTCTCACAGTAACACTCTCTCCTTCTCCTGAACCAGCAGACATTACCACTTGTAAGTAATAGTGTTACTCTGGCTTACATGCTTAGTTGTCTGCCCAAGCTGTGATCGTGTATTGACTGGCTCCCTGTTGCCACGGCGTGTATAATCTCATGGATTTAACCATTAGCTTCAGGAATAATCCCTGTCGCCTCTCCCTTGGCTTCCATACACATAAAGGAGGGCAAGGGGCTTGGTATCAATACAGGAGAAATACCTGCACTGGTGAAAGCACTAGGGAAGGGGTGCCACCGGGGCAGACACACTACACCAGTATAAATTCAGATTCGCACTTGATCATCCCACTCCAAGAAAGCCAGCCTTCCTGCACTTCCCAAAGCTGCATCCCCATCGCTGCACAAACCAGGCTGTGCTTCCCACGGGAATGGGCAGGTTCAACGCCCACAGGGGCGGCAGCACGGACCTCGCCGCTGTGGGTGCAGCACACGGCGCTGCTATGGGCACCGCACATTATAAACCGTAGCTTTATTCATTATCTCCCGGCACCCAAACTGTTCTTTAGCACATGTCCCACAGGTTTCCGGGGCCTTTCACGTGGCAGGTCAGAAGCCTGTTGGAGGCCATGGCAGAGGCAGCCTGCCCTGGGGATGTGTTTTCCTCCCACCGATGCCGCTCCTGCTCCGGGCAGACTTTGCTAACGCCTGCCCTGGGCAGCAGCAGCATCTTCCAGGTGCTGTGGCTGATCGCCACCTGAATGAGACCCGCAGGTCTCCTGCGGTTCAGGCACCTCACACCCACCCAGTGCTGGGACAACGGCTAACCTGCAGTTTTGTTTTCTCTCCCGTCTCGGATCAGCCCCTGCAGAAAACACGACACCTGAAGCAGCAGGTACGTATGACTTCAGCTTTAGTAGAATTGGCTTAATGCTTGATCCTGGGAGTAAACTATTGATTCCCTCCCCATGAACAGTCCTTGCTTTGCTCAGACAATAATGGAACAGTTACTGAAGCGTGGCTTTTACTTTCTCTTTGACAGCCCCAACCGAGTCCACAACAGCTGAAAAAACAGGTATTTATTTCTGGTCATTTCTTGAACCGTGGTGAGCAGTTTACTAGTTTAGCATTCTTCTTGCGAGTCATAGAATCATAGAATCATTTAGGCTGCAAAAGATCCTTAAGCCACCAATGTATTTAAAACTTGGACAATGTTTAATTTCATGTTTTCTCATCTCACAGTAACAAACTCATCCGCTCTATCAGTCTCTCCAACTCCTGAAGCAGCAGCCATTACCACTTGTAAGTAACGCAGCATTACTCTGGTTTACATCCTTAGTTATCTATCAAATTTGTGATCTGACGATGTGTTGGTCTGTCTCCCTGTCTCCACTATGTGCGTAATCTCATACCTAATACTTAACTTTGAGGATAATTCCTTTGGCTTCCATACAAATCAAGGGATGGAAAATGCTCTTGGTATCAATATGAAAGAAATACTTGCACTGATGGAACTATGAGGGAAGGGGAAACCACTGGAGCAGACACACTACAGCAATATAAATTCAGATTTGCTCTAGATCATCTCACTCCTAGAAAGCCAGCCTCCCTGCGCTTTCCGAAGTTGCAACCCCACTGGAAGCTGAGTCAGTGGAAATCTTTCTGACTTATTCAGTGGTATTTTGTTTGAACCTTAGTTTTCTATAATGGGATTTATCTTTTGAAAACTTCGAATTGCAAGTTCTGCTCATTAATTGAAAATATTCTGCCTCAGATGCTTAGATAGCAGGCTAAGGTTTTCTTTTAAAGCCTGGCCCTATCAGCTACACATTGGTAAAAGGCACTTGGCTGCATCAATAAAACATACATACTTGTGTTGACAATATACAGGAAACTGAACTTCAGATGCAAAGCATGCATTTGAGCATGGGACTATCTGCCTACACAAAGGAATAAACAGAATTAAATCTTGTTCCCATTAATGCTAATAATATGTCACCTTTAGTATTCGAGCCCATATGCTTTTCTCAGTAGGAACCCTTTGCCCATGACAACTCTATTCCTCAGAACTGTTACTTCCAACATTTCTTAGTCTTAATGCATTCAGCCTCACTTAATCTCTTTTTTTTTTTTTTAATGCATTCAGCCTCACTTAATTTCTTTTTTTTTTTTTTTTTTTTTGCATTAAAAGCCCATCCAAAAACAGACCCAGCACCTAAAAGCTCAGGTAAGGTATTCTCATTCTTTCTTCTTTTTAATGACTTCTCTTCCCAAGTGCAGTATATGCTGGGTAAGCTGGGAAAGCCTGGCAAATTAATGGCAGAGGGTATCTGAGTGCAGAAGGAAGGGGGAAGCGGGAGAGGTCGGGAGCAGGCAGAGAGCTTGGGGATGCTGCAGCTTGCCCAGGGACCGCACGCCACCAATACAGCAGCTGGCAGCCAAACCATCCTCAGTGGTAAACATTAAGCTGACCTATGTCTGCACCATTTATTGAAAAAACATGCTTAAAACGTCAGCCCGAAGCCTGCCAGGCTGCTGGCCAGCCAGTGCCCGTGTGCTCTGGAAGGCTCGCAGGCAAAGAAACAGCTCGTTATTGCAGCGAGTTCACCATCTGAACGGAGCGCTAACTTGTGTAACCTCGGGGTTAGTTGTAGGAGGGAGTAATGAGCTTTTAATGGTACACCATTAAAGAAAGAGAAATTAATTTCCTCTCCACTCAGCTGCTATTCCAAGGTATGGCAGCAAGGCCCACATTTGCATTTGCAAAGCATTCTAATATTTAATACATGCTGCATGGGTTTATAACATTAAATTTCTTCTTCTCCCGCAGACCTTACTTACCTGCCTAAATACATACGGGTGATGTTGCTGAGATACTTAACCGGCCTGTGCCGACCGAGGTGGCCTGGGATGCAAAGTATAAAATTACAAGGGTAAATATTTATTCATGCACGTGCACATGGAGGGGTCCCAGCCAAATTGTTTTACAGCTTTACACTTGGTTCTACACCCTTCAAACATTCAGGTACAACACGATTTGACTCATCACTCACACCCACGCTACTGATTACTAATCATAGCAAAACTTTGCAAAACAACTCTATTTCTGCAGCATTCCTGATGCTTGTCTACTGATCCAGACATCCCTGGAGTCAGTCTTGCTGGAGTTACTGATCTATGACACCAGATGATGCTGGGAAGGTTTCAAAGACGTGTCAGAGGGGGCTGGGATGCCGGCGTTATCTTGGCTGTCCAGGGGAATCCTTGATGGCCAGCTCTATGCTTCCACGAAGCAAAGTCCTCCTTTCCTGGGCCAGGCTGTCCTTTAGTTTATTTTACTTAGGCATGAACAATACCAGAGTCTCCAGTAAAATTCCACTACCTCATTACATTACAGTGCATAACGTGAACTAATATTTATTAACAAAGTTAATACACTTTCATCCTCTAAAGACTAATTGATATAAGAGTTAGGGAAGGGAATTTTCATAACACTGACCACCAGAAGACCCTACACCAATGCCAGAGGCTACCGTGCAGGGAACAAACACCTAAGCAACCCCCGACGCAGGCCTGGAATTGACTCCCATGCCATATTTCATACGCCATGCAAAGGCTGTGGCACAAGAAGGCTGGTCGGAACGTTTGGGTTTGAAATTGTCACATGCCAAAACATTATCAAAACTATTTTTAAAATGAATTTCAAAAATATTTTTAAAGATCGTTACCGGATGATGCCACCCCATGGCTTTGTGAATGCCAAGACTAGGGAAGTGGACATGGAACATCCACCGCATAGATGGATGTTATATTAACACCACAACAAAATTATGTTTCTAAAAGTTCATTATTCTAAATTATATGATATTATCAACCTTCCTCATTTCACACACTTCCCCACCCCGCTTCCCTTTCGTAACCCTCCCTCAGGTCACTTTGTGCGTGGCTAAATGTGCCCAAAACAAAGAGACTCTGCATAGTGGGTTATGTACAGCTGCAACATATAAAGTGATGGTGTATTCACTCCAACATACAACAGAGCAGGATTTAACGAGCTGGGTTTTAGTGTGCTCACCACACCGACGAGGCTCCCAACGAGCCTTTGCTGGCAAGGCAACAGTCAGGCAGGGAAGGGTTGATCTTCCCCCCTCCTTCAAACAGACCCTCCACTGTGCTCAGCTGCCATTCTCCATGGTTTTTTTTTCCCTTTAAGTCTTTCTACCTGTCCACATTTGTGTTTTCCCTCTTGAGTCCTTGGGCTACTAACTGAATCCAAATCAATAGTAACTGACTCGTCAGTAATTTCAACTCTCTTATCTCGCATGGCTCTGCAGACTTTCTCACAACTTGGCTATGTCCTCAGCTGGGACCTGTGGTTGGGCCACCTCGGGTGGCCCAGGATCCTCCCAGCACGGCCAGCTGAGCCCTGTTACCCCTTAGCTCTAGACATTCAGGAAAAGGTTTCAGACATACTTTGCAGCTCTAAACTCAGAGCCCATCAAGCCATGACCTATTCGAACACAGTGGAAGGATCCATTTCTGGCAACTTCTACAACAGA